GGAGGGGGGGGGGGGGGGGGGCAGCGTATCGCCCCACGCCCAGGTCCTGTGCCTGCTGCAGGATATCATCCTGCCTATCATACGCAAAGGCCAGGTCGCCAGCATTCCACCCACGAACACAGCCACCTCGGCAAAAAAAATTGCAGCTACAGCTGTCTGCTTGCGCATATCAACCAGAGTTGATTAACCTCGAGTAAACACGTGGACACTGGTGCACCATAATTGTGCAAGCTACTGCTGACACCAAACACGACACGACCAGGAGACACTTGCCATCCTTCTACTCTGACTCTGTTCACCCGCGGGGAAGGCCTCCGGCTAGCTGCTGTAGCTCCATCGTGCACGTGCACCTTTGCTACCCTCTGTGGGGGGATTCATCCTACAGCGATAAGAGGTGAGTATGTTCTCAACTGAGAGGACATTACTGTACTAATTAGAGCACGCCTTGAACTGGCTCCTCCCTCACACAATTTTTGAATGTTTGAAAGCCGCTGGCGCATCAGTTGACAACTCAGCGTTCAGAGACACATGCACATACAGCACTAGACACATCCACAAAACACAAAACAAAGCCGGTGCATGGATGAAGGATTCGCATGTCACAGGGAAGTGGGCACCATTTGCGTTTTCTCTATTGGGTCTTCACTATGTGCCGCGGAGTGCATCCGCCCTTCAACCTGGGCTGCTAACCTGAAGAGTACGCTGTTTACACAGTAGTTTAGTCTACGTAACGTCTGAGTTCCCCCCCCCAGCAGAGTTTTCCTCTCCCCCCATGACCTTTTCGGCCTGGAAGCATGGTTTCTTTGATGAAGCGTGGCTAATATCGGGTACACCCGGTCCAAACACGGCCATAATCGGGTACCCCTACAAGATGCTGCTGGAAGAGACCGCATGACACTGTCTGATTGTCCGACGCCCGCCCCTACCCGACCTCGACCATTTTTCCACCGGGTGCACCCGATCTTGGCTACTCACCCCCCGGAGGAGTACCCGGTCTTTCTTTCCCCTACCCGAAAACGGCTGGGCTCTTCGGCGAAAATACACATGCATACAATCACGAGTAGGACGCACACCGCTGGCCGCTCGTTTGTCACCAATGAGAGAGCAGCAGAAGCAGCGAATGTGTCTTTTTTTAGATGCGTCTCGTGTGTGTCGCATCTCGTGAGCGAGGCATTCATCCACAGCTCTCCTCGATCATTTGTACCGACCGCCTGCCTGATGCTGTTTCGTCCAAGCGAGAGTTCCACCGCCGGCGGTGGGTCCGCCCCCGCCCGCCGCCAGAACGTCCGATTTCGAGGGCAAGGCAATGCTCACGTGTACTTGTGTGCACGGGTTTGGCCGAACAGCCCAGCCACGTTCGGGTAGGGGAAAGAAAACCCGGGTATCCCTCCGGGTGGCGAGTAGCCAAGATCGGGTGCACCCGGTGGAAAGATGGTCAAGGTCGGGTAGGGGTGGGCGTCAACCAATCAGATGGTGTCATGCGGTCGTTTCCAGCAGCGTCTTGCAGGAGTACCCGGTTATGTCCATGATTGGACCGGGTGTACCCGATTTTGGCCACTGCTCTTCTTTGATTTAGCCCAGGGGTAGATCGTTTTCGACCAAAAAAAAAGAGCTCCCCGGGTATTTTCCCCCGGGGTACCAGTTTTCCCACGAGTTCCCCACGGGGGGAATGAATTCTCTAATTTTATGAGTCGATTTTGTCACATCGCGGAGCACAAAAAGCATGATATGGGACGGAAAATTCATTTGCAGATCTGCTCTTCGAGCGAGATTCAGGGGTACCGTTTGCTACTGGAAGGCGGGCCCTTCCTCTTCTTGGAATCACTTGCGGGACGAGACAAACTCCCTCAGCTGCTGCCCTCCTTGCTGTGTTTTTTCACTTCGCCTTCGTTGCTCTTACGTTTCTTCTCCCTCTGCTTCTTGAACGCTTGCTTGTAAACCTTATCCATCTCAGTTTCGCCACTCTCTGTGTGTGTGGTGTGTGGACCATCATTATTTTGCACATCCCCCCGGGGGGGGCTTCCCCCCGGGGTAGCGTTGGAAAAATAAAACATACCCCCCTTCCCTCCCGGTGTTTTGCCATCGGGGTTGGGTTTTCGTCGCTTGGCAACGACGTTGTAAAACAAGCC